ACTACAAATAGCTTTGAGTTCGTTTTACGAATTTCTATAGTTAAATTTTCAGGATTAATTACGTTTAGATCGGAGCGCACTATATAAGAATTAGAAGACTTAATGTAAAAACCTATATACCCCTCCACCATATCTATTTCGGTCACGACAGATAAATTCATAGCCTGGTATATGGAGCTCGGAACTTTTTATGCATTCGTCAAGTTTGGTTTCATTAATTGCCAGAATATCAAATGAAAACTTAGTAAGAAAGACTCTAAGTTTGTCAACATATTTGACGAGACTGTTAATGTTCAAACACTCAGGCCATTTGGAAACCACGTTTAGCTGGTAAAAAATTAGACATATTGGAAGGACCCGAATTACCTGAATGAACTTCGTTGTCTACTAATTCTTGCAACGTTTGAGAAACCAGAGGATAATCGACATTCGTGCAATTAGGAAATCAATTAGATCTCAGAAAATTTACAAAGTTCTTTGCAATAGCTCGTTACCTTCCCTCTTTATAGGTGCAGTCCACCTTTGTTAAGTCCTTTTGAACTGATGTTAGCATGGCTGATGAGTTTCCTGTTGAGTGTAGCCTGAGAAATGCTCAACATACAATGTACGAGCCATATCCGTTCCTTTAAAGCCATTATCCGCAAGATAGGTTAACAGTGCTTTAGTGACACGAATCTTAGGCGTTCCTGAGGCACCAGTGTACCCTACATGTGGTTGAAATGAACCGTTTTTTGCCTGGGAAAACGCCGTACGGGGACAGGATTTAGCCTGCGTGACAGGCGCAAAAAGGAGAAGGCGAGGGGGAGGAAGAAAAGCGCGAAAAAGCGAAAAGACCCTCTCTCCCCAATCCCCGTCTTTTTTCCCTTCCTCCCTATCCCCTACCCCTTTCGACGCCTGCTACGCAGGCTAACAGGATTAGGCTATGCAATTCAGTTCGAGACACATGACAAAAGGGGCATAGCATGCCTGAGGGGTACTCCTGGGAATTCTTAGTGGGGCTCAGACAAAAAATAGTCTTTTTCTACACCCGTTTTCAGACCTTTTGCAAAGACAGAAATTACGTCATCATTACTTACATTAGAAAGCTAATAAGAAGACTTTTTAAAATCCATTTCGAATTCGCATATTGCTCCTCCTATCTTATTCATTTGGAACTGAAACGACACTACGTTGATACACTCCTGTAGTTCCCTCAAATACCATAACCGATTCCAGACCAAAGTGGACAAAGCCCTAGCCTGCGTAGCAAGCGTTTCCGTGCGCTTTAGCTAGGTGCAAAGAACGAGGAACGAGAGTTTGGCGCTCATTTCATCTCTCGCGCGGCCAAAGCCGAGAATCCCGTTCCTCGGTCTTTCTGTGCTCTGAAACCAAACGGAAACGCTTGCGACGCAGGCTAACAAAGCCCATACCCGTTTTCGGACCAAAATGACGCAAAAACTTGTAAATGTCGTAATAGTAGTTGGTTCAGCTGTCTTGCTCTCAGGTAAGCCCGCCTTTTCCATATTTGATTTGTTTACTACCAGGAGTAAATATTGTAATCTGCCGAAAAATTCAGTTGTTGTTGAAAGATATTTCTACCAAACTTGTAATAGAAATTATACTGAACCGATCCTTGTAATTCGTCCAATATTAAAGTACTAGGGTATCTAAGAGATAGTAATGCTGCGGCACATTCTGTTGATACTGGCATTAGTTAGGCAGTGAGACTTAAAAGAATCGAAAATGACATTGAATGTCGTATTTACATGTTGGAAAGTACTAGAACATTACTATCAGTCTATAGAAAGAACTCGTGGGAACGTTGTTTAGAAAATGATCAAGTAGTTACAACTCTGGTTTTCCCACAGTAACTTGTAGGAAATAGTAGAAATTCAGATTGTTTATCCATATATTTAATATACGGTGCACGATATTTTCTCTGGAAACACAATACTTTTCTTGCTGTGTGTTGCACTTTATTAAGTAACAGTTATTTAGCTATATATTTATAGAAAACAACAACACAAAAAAGAGAAAAAAAAAGGAAAGAAGAAATACAGAATTCGGTGGGATTCGAACCCTGCACATTCGGCTCGACACGACTACACCTAACTACTGCATCACAGAGGCAGATTACGTAATCTTCAGGAAAAGTCTTTCATTTTATTCCTTTTCCATGAAACTTCCGCCGGCAAGATGATCGCCAGCCGCATTAACCGAGCTATTAACAGTGAAAGAACAATGTAAACGCATATTCCATGGCAATGAATAAAGGAAAAAACATAATTATGCTTTTCAAAACGCCGATACACGTCCTGGCCTGCAAAGTAGGACACAAAACAAATGTTTTGTTATCTCGATTTCCGCTTTTATTTTGAAGCGAATGGTCAAAATCACATCCACTTTCGGTTCAAACAGTTTCTTAAGAATAGCACTGCATGACATTTTCTCACTTTCACATCACCTTCTAACAAGCTGGAATTTGTATATCCCCCGTGTTGCGGAGTCGAAGAGCAAATGCTCATCTTCTCGTCAGGTTTAACACCTGGACGAGTCAAAGGCTCTTGAATTGAAATCCAATCCCCAAGTTAACCATCGTACTCATCTGAAAGACTCCTGCGTGTCTTAAAATTTGGTAAGACCTCTAACCGTGCTGTAGAAAATTTGCCACGAAGAAAACTCTAAGCAGCGAACGATGCACTCTCTCACCCACCGAACTTCTCCGTGTTTTTATTTGAGTTGTTCGTGGCGCAATGCACTCTGGTTAAATGCAATGCATTGTGGTAAAAGTGTGGTTAAATGCAATGCATTGTGGTAAAAAGTAATGAATTCGAGAATTCGTCGCCCCTTATATATTTCCTTTAAATCCTGATTATGTTGCTGCTCGCTCCCTTCGGTCGCTCCGCAGCAACTAGTCTGGTGCTGGGTCCGTTCGCGTGTCTCCCTCGCAAGCGCCCGTTCTCTCTTTCACCCACTACTTCCAAGCGCCTGCAACGAGAATATATCCCAGAGTAGTCAATCGATAGAAATCGGTATCGATAAAAATCGGTAGTACATGGTAGTAATCAAGCGATTTTTATCGATTGATAAGGCCATCCCCCTAAAATGTTTCGTTTCCCATCGCCCTCCCTCGTGAAGGTGGGTCGGTCGGTAGGGCAAAAAAAAAAAACAAACAAACAAAGAATGAACACATCATTGCATATTAAATCTCACGTTTAGTCTGCGAGATATAATCAGATGGTAAAAGACGTATATCTATATTTATTACATAGACACGAGTGTTTTACTGGAAAATATACCACTCGTAAAATTCATAAAAACTACATCAAGGACCCGAGTGGTTTATTTTCCATAATCTCAAACGTGAGTTTATGGATGACGTAATTTCTGTAATTTCCCTCTATTATTTTATCGATGTCTTTTTTTGTATATAATAAAAAGAACATTACACGGCGGCTTGAAGATATGAATTTTATTTTCTAGTTGTAAAACAATATTTTACGAAAGAGCGCAATTTTGTTAATAAGACAAGATCGTGTGCTTGTAAATTAAAGCACTTGCTTCTTTACAAGTGATTCTGGAATTTTTTTTTTTTTTTTTTTTTTTTTTTTTTTCCAAAAAAAGGGGGGGGGGGGGGGTGGGAAAAGAAAAATTTTTTGGGGGGGGGCTAACGGAAAACGGGGGGGAAAAGGGTTGTTGAAACTTCCTACCGAGAAAAAAGAATTTGGTTTTTTTGAAATTGTACCCCCCTCCCTTTTTTTT